ATTTAATATGGAAGAGTCTAAAAGAGGTTTATGTCCCATGTCGCATGAGATTTACCTCTCAAAAGATATGTGTCCTAAAACACATGATGAAAGGAGTAGCATGGATAAGAGTCTTTATGCTTCGGCGATAGGATCTATCATGCATGCGATGCTATGTATGAGACCAGATATTTCATATGCTCTAAGTGTTACGAGCAGGTTTCAAGCAAACCCTAGTGAGAAACACTGGATAGCGGTTGAGAACATTCTTAAGTACTTGAGAATGACTAAAGATGTGTTCTTGATCTATGGAGGAAATGAACTGAAAATTCTTAAGCATACTGATGTCAGCTTTCAAACTGACAAAGATGATAGCAAGTCTCAATCAGGATATATGTTTACTCTCAACAGTGGAGCAGTTAGTTGGAAAAGTTCCAAATAAGAGACAACCGCTGATTCAACAACAGAAGCCGAGTACATTGCTGCTTCTGAAGCAGCGAAGGAAACTGTCTGGATCAAGAAGTTCATTAATGAAGTTGGAATCGTTCCTAACATTGTTGATATCATACCTTTGTATTGTGATAACAATGGAGTCATCGCACAAGCGAAGGAACCGAGGTCTCATCAACGATCCAAACATGTACTAAGGCGATATCATCTCATCAGGGAGATTATACAAAGAAATGACGTAACGATAGAGCGAGTTCCCACATATGACAATATTGCAGATCCATTGACAAAGCCATTGTCACAATAGAAACATGATCGTTATGTGGACGCTTATGGTATTAGATGCATGAGTGATTGGACTAGTGCAAGTGGGAGTTTGTAAGTGTTATGCCTTAGATCTAATCGATTTAGGTTATAAACACTTTTAATATGTTTAATACATTTAATTTTGGCAAGATCTATTATTTATATAAATTAATGTTGTGATAAATAATATTAAATAATAGAGTTCGAAGATCCAAGTTTAAGTGATTTGTTAATGACAAGGAGTTGTGATTGTGAGATACAAATTACGTATGATTGGATCTTGAATAAACCGTGGTCGTAAGTAATAACGAGATACGGATATCGTTAATACAGAAAGACCATCACGTGTGACATTTCTTACTTGTCAAGTAAGTAGCTGATCTCACGAGTTAAAGTGTGGTGACACTTAAATGAACACGTGGATGTTTTGTTATAGAACAAAACATTGGAGACCCGCTAAAAGATTCCACATGGATAACTATCTGAGTGTCAATGGTTAATCTCTAACGTTCGGTAGTGGAATTGGTCCTATGACTTGAGGTCATCATGGTGCCTTGTATGAGGACAGTCATGCTTTGATGGTGTTGGATGTTGTTCTGTCAAAGGCCGCTAATACGATATCGTTCGGGTATGTCAAGAACCATATGAAGGTTGTGAATGATTAATAGAGAATTCGTCATTCTTAGATAGTAAGAGATTGCGATCTGCATTTCGGTCAATTAAGTCAATAATGAAATCCTTGGCCAATGTATACATATAAGCCAAAAAGGAGTTTTCGACTCATATTGACTTAATAGTAGAATGAAAGATATGATCGATAATCGAGATTGACACACTTCCATATCTCGTAGTTGATCGGATCATATTGACGAAAGGATTATAATTTCATGGTAAACGAACAATTTTGATTTTGTCATACCACGTGACATTTCCCGTCATATGTGTTGTCCTGATACATTGCTAGATGTCAATCTGGGACGGTGAGTGTGAATTTGTGATAAATTAAAAAGGTGTTTAATTTATCAGTTTTGATTAGTTCAAAATAATATTTCACGTCGTTAGGTATCGTGGTCGGGAACCTAATGGGTCGCACACAAAAGAGAATTGGAAGATTGCAAATTGCCAATTAATTAATTTAACAATCGTTGAATAAATTAATTAATTGGATTTATATCCCGAATTAATTAATTGGATTAATTAATTCAAATTAAATGGATTAATTAAATATTGGACCGGATTGGGTCTAGCCCGTTTGTATTTATATAAATATATGGTTAGGGTTTAAGGTCCATAATGTTTTCATTATTCTTGCTGGCACAAGAGGAAAAAACCCTAGCAGTTGCAGTTTATTCTCTGTGTGGATTTCATTGGAGGTTGGACAATTAGACAGTTGTGGGAGGCAGATTTAAGTTTCTAGAAAAGAATAACGCAAAGGAGTTTGTAAAATCAAGAAAAATGTATATTTCTCATCATAGTTCTTTTCTAAATACAAAGCTGAATTTTGAATGGAAATTAAAATTGTTTAATTCCTCTGTGCATGTTTAAGTAAATTCCCTACATAAGCTACATGGTCAATCAGAGAGGTACTGAAGCCAACTCAGAAAAAATCAAAATCCAGGTCGGGATGGCATGAATGGCAGCCCTTAGCCTATTTTTTGTCCCAGTCTACTCATTTTCGCTCTTCTTTTTTGTACAAAAGGTGATTTACTTTTAAACATAACCAATCAAGCTATATAGTCTTGAAACCATTATTTAAATTTTGACTAGTAAAAATCATTTGAAACCATTATCCAAATTTATAAAAATAAATAAATAAATAAATAATGCTAGTAGTGCTAAACCATATATGATTTATTAGTTCAATATACTTCAACAAAATTACTTACTAATCGGATTGTAATCTGCTTCTGATAAATAATGATTCACGATTTATCTATTTCAGAAAGAATGAAATTGAAAACTTAAATTTTTTTGTTAAACATTGTATTAAGTTGTAAAGAGACAAACATATGTAGTGTTGTAATGTTTATGCATATAAAATTTCAATTCCAGTACGATATTGAGATTTTAGATCAATATATTGGTGTTTTAGCCCAAATGAAAGATGTTATTGTTCAAAAACTTAGTGGACCTGCAAGAAATTGTTTAATTTAGGCATTGTTTGAGCTCTATTAATTTGAAGAAATATATAATACCCGTTTGGTACACATTAATGTAAAAATGAGAAAGAAAAATATAACTGTTATGAGTCTCATACAAGAGATAGAAAGTTAAATATGGTAATTTGATGTGATGGATAACAGTCGTATTTTTCATTTTAATGGACAAATAATGGGAAACAAACATGAGACATAATAGTGATTGATGAAAAATGTGTGGTTAAAAAAAGTTTTTGATTTACGTGTAATATTAATTTAATGAAGAATGTGTAATTAAAAATGAGTAGTGTAAAAAAAAAAATAATGGCAAAGAATGTAAAGTAAATGATGAAAAATAAAGCTTAATTATTTTGAAAATTTTCCAAACCGTTTTTGTTTTCCATTTTTGTAAAAATGAAAATGAAAAATATAGTCGTTATGAATCCCATATAAGAGATATAAATTTAAATTTTTCGATTTAATGTGATGGATAACGATCATATTTTTCATTTTTTAATGAAAAAATAATGAAAAACAAACAGGCGTTTAATCTACTATTAAGAACATGAATGAAGTATATATTGCTTGTTCCCACGGGCAACTCGCCGATAGGGGGACATTGGAAAAACAGAGCCACGTTGGCCCTGTTTGAGAAGAATTATTATTCAATATTATTCAAAATGACAAGATTGTGACAGTGACCAGTGTCACGGCATATGAAACCGCATAGGTTGGATTTTGAAATTGGACCGACTTCTCCTCACGCGTTTTCACAAAGAATTTCACCTTTGAACTCACTCTCACCACTTTAATAATTTCCAAAACCACAAATGTTAAGACTTCTTTACTTTTCCCAATTTTAGCATAATTTTAGGAATCTGTCTAAAAAAAATAAAGTTAGAGCCATTTTCTAAGTTTGGGTGATTACAAAATAATTTATTTTCGTTTAATAATTTCACCTTACCCTCGCAATTGTGATCCACTTTTACTTTTCTAACGTAATTCTCTTCCTTACTTTATTGTACCACCTTTTCCTTTCCATTTCGTTTCAAAATAAATACTTTTTTATAAGTGAATTGAAACATATACAAATTACTTATTCTAAAAGTAAAATTTGTGACGTGCTGTCAAATAAATAAGATAAGGACAAAAAGAATTTGTTTAAATACTTGCATGCTAAACAAAAAATCATATTTTAAGTAGATTTTGATAAAGGTTGATTAAATATATTGATGAAAATTTGATAAAAATTATGGAATTCATTAAATATGTTATTAAAATTAATTATTGATTTAATTAACATTTTTTTTTTCAACTTTTTAGCTAAACCAAATATATGTTAAGTCTTGAAAATCCTATTAAATGATTTTCTTCGACTATCATCATAGATAACTAAATATCTTCTTAGAGATAGTGATGTACCCGCACCTCATTCTAAGTCATTATTATTCACTTTATTTTATGATTATATAACCTAGTCATAATTTTCAACAATTTTAAAGAGATTTAACAATCTTGAGAAAATCAAACAATTTGATAGTTTGTCTGCCCAATTATAGTTAGGTTCAAAAAACTATTACTATTTTCTAGACTAGTTTGATCCTTGTTTTCATTTAACAAATGAATTGCACATAATTAAGAGCCTGTTTGATAGTGATTTTAGGAATTGATTTTTTGACAATTAGGAACAAAGTGGGGGTCACTTGTGAGAGAAGAAGTCAAAAATAATGACTGAAATAGTGAAATAACGATCAGAAAATCAATTTTTTAAGGTGAAAAATCCCTCCTAAACGGAGCCTAAATTAATTATTTTCACTTGTTCTTATCAATTTCATTTTCTTTGTTGGCATTCAAAATTCTTGATTGTGTCATAATATACACTCACATGAGAAGTATCTGCAAGACTATGACCTAAGACATCTTTTCACAATGAAGGGACATTAAAACAAGTATAGGATTGAGATATATATTATTATAATCATGTGAATGTATATGAACTGAATTTGGCCAACTTATGAATTAATTTATCTAATAATTATGTCACTATAAGCCAACTGGTAGTTAGTAAATACAGTAGATATTGCCAAACAAGGTCAAGATATTGTGTTATGTGGGACCCTTTTCCTCAAAACTGCTTGCCAGTAGGCCAAAAAAAGAGCACTTGAAAGAATTTTTCTCCAGTACAAAAACCCCTCAGCCCCCTCCATGGTCTAATGTACCATTCCCTCTTTCATAATTCTTAAAAAAAGAAAAAAAGCATTAGCAAGAAGTACAGTAGATTTACTTGCAGTAGCTAACAATGGCCCGACCGCAGCAGCGATATCGAGGTGTTCGACAGAGGCATTGGGGCTCGTGGGTCTCTGAAATTCGTCATCCTTTACTGTAAGTTGGTCTTTCTATGACGGGAAAAAAGGGTCGATACTTAATTTTTATTTTACGTAGCAAAACGTGCAAATGCACAAGTTTGGACTCTACTGATACTAAGAGATGTCTTAATTTTGTTACAGAAAGACTAGAATTTGGTTAGGCACATTCGAGACAGCAGACGATGCAGCAAGAGCCTATGATGAGGCAGCTAGATTAATGTGTGGTCCAAGGGCTAGAACTAATTTCCCTTACAATCCCAATTACTCGAATAACTCTTCGTCTCAGCTTCTTTCGGCCACATTGACAGCAAAATTGCACAAGTGCTACATGGCTTCTCTTCAAATGGCTGCTAAACAATCGATCCAAGAACATCGTACTCCTCAAATAATTCCTTCGCGAAATGCAGCAATTCCGAGTGATGCCAGTGCCATTACAGTAGAGAATGCTCCTAATTATGAAACCAGTTTTTGGTCAGCAGATTATGAGAAGAAACCAATGGTGCAAGTGCAAGAAATTAAGCCACTTGAAGAAGACCATATAGAGCAAATGATTGAAGAACTTCTTGATTATGGGTCCATTGAGTTCTGCTCATCTCATCAGCCAATGTGAACTAGCTACTAGCTTATTTCGACAGCATCAATCTTGTTATGGCTGAAAAAAAAGCCATTTTTTGGCTCTTAAGTTAAGCCAAACGTGCTCGTTAATTTAACCCATTTATCTAAACCTTAGTTATCTCTAGAAGCTCTTCAACTATATTAGGACTTCACTTGCATTGGATGAAGATTATGTACATTGTACCGTGTTATAAATTTTTGCTATTGCCTGAGTTGACGTAGAAATAGTATTTGCTATTTCAGCATTTTTCTTAGTCCTCGTTTGGTTTAGTTAAGAATAAAATTTTTAGTATATTTTGATAAAAACTGATGAAATGTGTGATCGAAAAGTAGATAAAAGTTGTGGATCCCGTAAAATATGGGCCTAATGCATCTTAATATCATTGGGAAAATCAAATGTTTCTCTAAAATTATTGATGGAACGAATATTAACGAATTATACTGTTAACATGTTGAATATTGTACTAAGGAAAACGAATTCAACTCAGAATCTCCGACAACTAAGTTTAAAAACTGAAGAATATATATTAATAGCTTGCTAAAAATGAGACTTCACTGCACATATATCTTCCAGCAAGTTTTATTTCAATTCCCACATTAAAAAATAAAAAATTGGGTGTAAAAAGTGTAGAGCGTAGGTGTATGCATGGTGGTAGAAGAGTGAGAAAATGGGCTCAAGTTTTCATGCCAAAAGTTTCAAGATTTTGCTTAAAATTTTTACTGGGATTTGGAGTATGTGTTTGGGAAAAGAAATACTATTTTTTTAGAGGCAGTTTTTGCTGTGGGATTGCCGCTGATAAAAGCAAACGAACACTGAAACCAATTTATTACTTTGTGAGGTATTTCAATCATGTAGTTTTTGAATTTTCTTATGCATAATTTAAAAAGATAATGAAAATCCGTTTGGCCCCCATTTTTTTCAAATTAAAATATGGCGAATAGTTTTTTTTTTTTTCGAGAATGAGTGATTTAAAAAGAAGAAATTTTTTTCGATTTATATGCACAAGCTTGCTACATGTACATTCACTTTTATATTAACTTTGATATCATTTCACGTGACACACATCATAGCCTTTGATTTTTTCAACACTCTTTCACATCACTGGTCAAATTTTGACACATAAAAAGAATGTCATTTATAATGTAAACTAGAATGTAAATCTAGAAGCCCCTCGAGGCATATCCCAATGGTGCAAAGGATGAGGGTGATGTATACTCGACCTTGTTGATAGCCGCAGTATGAGGGTTCAATTCCTAAAACATGAATTGAGACTCTTTATGGATGCCAATATATAGACAACTCTTGTTCCCTGACCTGCTGGGCACATCTCGTGATTAACCTCTCTCACGATACTCCAGGGGGGTGGGGTACCCTTAAAGTTGGGATTCAACCTTTTTTTAGAATATACATCTAGAATAATTGTTATATGTAATATCATTTTATGGAAAATTGTGTGATTGAAAATAGGAAAGAAAAAAATGAAATTTAATTTAATGGGGGCCAAATGACAACATAGTTTAAGAGCCTATTTAAGCCCCTCTTTTTTCTTTTTGCCCAAAGTGCATTTTGAAATAGTATATTAATGGATAATGTGTGGTCGTGAAATATTATTTTATTGAATAATATTTGATTGAAAACAAAAGAAAGAAAAATATATTTTAAAAATAATTGAGATCAAACGAGAGCTTAAATGTGAAAATGATTTTAAAGTGCAATTTCAAGTTTCGAGAGAAAATTCTTTCATTGTTTTCTTTAGGAGATGTTTCATACATTACTCACTTGTAGTGCGGGAAAATAATTAAGAGAAATTGACATGAAAAAAACGAAACGAATTATAGAAAATTGTGGATTTCATTTCTAACTTATTTTGCTATTTTTCATAATTCTTTAAAATGAGTCTCTCTCTCATTTTAACCTGTTATGATAAGGTTGGTCACATGTGACCAATATAAATTTATTATTTTATTTGTCGTTTCAGATTTAACTCTTATCTACTGTGATTAGTCCAAGTCCTTTTGTTCTTTGTTCTTTGTTCTTTGTTTATGTATAAATGTATAATAGAATGTATCATTTCTTTGTCTTCTATTCTCGGATATATTTTTTTATTTTTCAATTCCTTCCTTTATGTTAGCGCACATGCATGTTACCATAATATTTTTCAATTGTGTTACCAAATTCTATCTTTTAAAGGCATTTCATAAGTTGTCTTGACTTGTCTTGGGTACATGAAGGAAAGCAAAACCTGGCTAATTTAGTTCGACTCGCAGTTTAAACTATAGAATCAAAAATCGTGGAATATACTCAAGAGTTTGTATTTTACTCCTTCGCTACGCTTATTTAGTTCCAATTCAATTGTAAAGCTTGAACCCCAGTTGACTTAGGTATGCTACACTTGTTAGTTATTGAGATTTTACAATTTTCTTTTGGAATATAAAAAAGAAACAGATCGGACTGAACCAACAGTTCTACCATTGCATGTATTTCTACTTGATTTTTGAGTTGATTCATTTCTCATTGACAAAAATCAAATTGAACCACATCCACCCTCAGGGAGTGTGTGATAAAGCTTGAAATTAAAAATTAGCAAAATTTGTTAGAAGTTCAAGAAATGCGGGTCTACAAAATGAGTGGTTAAAATTAAAGTTTGATCAATTAAAAGGCTTTTATCAAACAAGCACTTAATCAAGTCTAGTCTAAGCGTATCAAACATGACACCACACTCGTATGTTATGTTTAATTGTTTTGCTTAAAAGGATTGATAAAAATTAAATTCAAAGAACAATTAATTTTCACAACACATTTCATGAAAACCACAATTTTAATCAACTTATCAACAACACATTTTATCAGTTTTTATCAAAATTTACTAAAAATCTGATTTTCAGTAAAACTAGACAAGGGTTATCTACGAGTGTAGTAGTTGGACCTAGATTATAGGTATTGAAATGCTTTAAGGTGAGACTTATAGAAGAAAACGGATAAAAAACAAAAACATGCCTTTATCAACACTTTTGGGTAAGACTAAATGATTGACTTACATTATATCAAATTGATATTTTTAAGGTGAAAGGCATATAACAATATTGTAAAGAATATTACTACCATGCGTATCATTATTATTGGATTGTTATTGTTTTTCTAAATGCATGCTCACTTTTAGGTATTCTTGGTGTCCCATCTTCTCCAGTGAAGACTCATGATGCCCTGTTTGGGAATTGATTTTGCCCCCCACAAATGAAAAACTTAAAAGCAATTTATATTTGTTTTTTGCTTTTTCATTCACTAAAGTTGTCTAAATAATGATATTGCCAGTAAGTATATTATCATTATTTGTTTGAATTTTGTGTTCATAAACTTTCACCTGACCAACCAACTTCCTCAATCTCAAGACTACATCAATCACAATAACAATGATCAACTAGGTGCAATATCAACCCTTCATCGACTCGATCAAAGCCCGGAATTATTGACCATGTCCCTCCAAAATTTGGGCCGAATTGACCGCGTATACCTCAAGCCAAGTTGATCATATCGTGTACAACGTCCTGAATGATAGTTCATTAATGTTCATTCATTTACACGATATCCTCCTTTCAACTATGAAAAAGTTGAACAGAAACAAAAAAAGTTTTAGTTACATTTTCAGTTATGAGTAAAGTTCACTTTCTAAATCAGTCGATCATGTCTTTTATTATTCACTTCCATAAGAATGGTGCACGAAAGAATCACCCACTTCTCTTCATCCCGTTTCACCCATAGAAAGAAAAAAAAAGAAGCAACTTAGGAGTTTAGATATTGATGAAATATAATTAGGTCAAATTCAAACCAATCTCAAGGGTACAAAGCAGGTTGCAGTGTCTTTTATGACAAAAGACTCAATTGGGTCTATTCAATTAATAATGTCTTGCCTATAAACAAGCCAACAAGAGAAAAGGAACAAACTCTTTGCTGGACTTAATGTTGACTTCTTAACAAAATTAATGATAGCCAAAATCCGAAAGTGAACAGGCCTGTCAGGATATTTTGAGTTGTTAGTTTTATATTGTTGTAGAACTAGTCTTAGAAATCGAGTTTGTGCAAAATATAGAAGAGATGAAGAACATAAAACCTTACGGAATTTCAATATTTGACTTATATTTACTGACACAAGAAGATTTCATAATTGAAAGTGGAGAATACGAAAGAGTTCAAAGTACTCGATCACGAGATTCTGATCACCCCAAAATTTATGCTATGCAAAAATTAAAGAAAATTCAAAATTTCACAAAAATGATAACCTCTTTAGACCTATCACTAGAAATAAGATGGAAATAATACAAAAGGGAAGGATTCTTTTTGGGAGCACCAAAGGAGAGGCTAAACGATCATCGCACACACAAGACAAAATCCATAGAAAACCAAACTCAAGAAGATTAACAAATTTATACCTTTAAAGAGTAAATCTTAACTTACTTCTTAAAAAAAAAAAAGGTAACTTTTTAAATTATAATCCAATAAGCAGTTAGTGATTCTAATTTTTCCTGCAATACAAGAGAAAAAGAAAGGAAAATAGTCTATGTAGCTTATTTCATGGTGAGTGATCTTTCATAATTAATGGTCAAAGCCAATGATGATGTGTATGGAATCTCATGAGGAAATGTTGGAAAGGAGACAAAACAAAAAGGCCTTAACCTAATTATATTTCTTTGGTATCATTTTGTTTTAGATTCTTCAAATCAAGAGAGTCATGCTTGCAAAAAAAGCCAAAACTCACACAAGAAATCAAGGATTCTAATCTTTTTTCAATGTTTGATTGCTTTTGCTTTATTTTATCTCGTAAGATTATTATCAAGAAATTTTATTTTTTAACAATGAAAAAAGTTACGAAAACCCTATCCACTATTGTTGACGATATTATTTAACAAAGGAATTAAGGGGGTGTTTGGTAGAGATTAAAATTAGAATTTTTTTTAGTAGATTGTGATAAAAATTTTCGAAATGTGTGTTTGAAAAGTTGTAGGACCCATGAAAGATGTGGTTAATATTGATTGTTTGTTTTGACTCAGATTAAAATCGAATTTTAATCTGTACCAAACATGCTCTTAACTATATTATTGGTATGTGCTTAAAAGTTAATTTTTAAAAAAAATTAAGTTTAGACTCATTTTTAGAAAAGTAATTTCACACAATAAGTAGAAAAATTAATTTTTTTTTTCTTTTAATCATGACTCACAAATAAATAACTTAAAAATGAACTTACTT